AGCGTGCAGCAAGCTCACTGCCCTGGACTTCAAAAGAGCAGACTTTGGACTCTTCAGGAACCTGCTTAGTAAGGTTCCATAGGATATAGCCCTAGAGGGCAGGGGGGCCCAAGACTCTTGGCTGATATTCAAGGATCACCTGCTACAAGCTCAGGAGTGTTGCATCCCAACTAGAAGGAAGTGCAGCAGCAGGGCTAGGAGACCTCCTTGGATGGATAAGGAGCTGCTGAGGAAAATTCAAATGAGAAAAGAGGCTTATAATAAGTGGAAGCAAGGACAGGTGGCATGGGAAGAGTACAGGGATGTTGTCTGGGAAGCTAGGGACCAGGTTAGAAAAGCTAAAGCCCAGTTAGAATTAAACTTAGCTAGAGGTATTAAAGATAACAGGAAGGGATTCTACAGGTACGTAGCAAATAAAAAACAGACTAGGGAGAAGGTAGGCCCCCTCAGGAAGCTCTCAGGAGAACTGGCTACACAGGATTTGAAGAAGGCTGAGGTTCTGAATGACTTCTTTGCCTTGTTCTTCACTGGCAAAGGCTCTGACTGCACCACCCAAGTCTTGGAAGGCAGATGCAGGGACTGTGAGAATGAAGACCTTGCGCCCACTGTAGGAGAGGAACTGGTTCGAGACCATCTTAAAAACCTGAACGTGTACATGATAGTCACAGCTGAAGTGTACACCATTATGTTCACTTAGAAATGATCAGCCTGCAAAACACATCAACCCACAGGAGACCTGCCAACTCTCCTAATACCCAAGCATCTTAAAAATACAATAAAGTTAATCTGAGTTCACCTCCTGGCCACTCACTCCCTGCTTTGCTCATTGTTATATTTACTCCTAAACCAGATATGACATTGCCTGGCAGGTCCCATTTGGATAGGTCTCCAGTCTAAAATCATAGCTAAATGAATGGGCCCAGTGGCAGTTCTACTAGTCAGCCTGCCATTAAATGACTTAATTCAGACAAGTTATCATATTTATTAAACTGACCTCTCTGATATGATTTTCTGTTCTCTGAATGACACCAGACAGAATTAAAATAAATGAGTTTTACCCATCTTCACACCCCCTTCACTGACCAGTCATTTGTAACAACTGGACTTTCAAAACCAGAAACACAGCTAACATCTTCCCATACAGGCACCAGACTTGAAGACAGAACAAGTCTTCAGTGTCTAACTCTAGATTTTCTTCAAATGGATGACAAATATGAGGTGGGAACAAAGACAAGAAACTAAGAAAAGTGCCTGCATGATGTGTATTCTTTGTATGATTATCCAAGGTCAAGAGCACGTTGCTTAATTCTGGGCTCAGGGAGTCACGCTATACACTTGACAAGGAACAAAAGGTAACTAGTATCTTCTGGCAGTATTTGGAATATAAACCAGGTCTAATACACCAACATTAGGACAGCAAAAGCTCCAACAACAGTGAAATTTCACTAAATTAGGCATAATTGTCACAAACAACAAAAAAACCCCTACCTCCGAACCTCCAAAACCCCCAGGAATTTACCCGATTTATAAAATTTTGCACCAGTCATCAAATTTTCGAGTAGTAAAGATGTACACAAAGTTTTCAATACAGAAACAGAATGGCTTTTTTAACTCAAAAAAGATATCTCTCAAACTGAATAATAATCAGCCATTTTACTCTCAGAATCATCTTCAATTAGCAAAGTCACTTGTATCCTGTCTTAAGAGTAGACCAATATTCTTCTAATAGATTTGTTTGCTCTGCTATAGAGGTCATAAAGATTGAAATGTTAGCTGAAAATTATCCTGCTGTTTTGATAGACTAATATGCAATCCAAAATCAATACCTTATGTTCAAGATATTAAATATGCAACATTTCCAGCAGCTTAAAATCAGAAAGACTTAAAGATAATCCCATGCTAAGTAGATACACGTAAAAGATTGTTGTCTAGCAAAAAGAGAAAAATGTGTTTCTGAATTAAGCCACCCTCTGTAAATTTGTACAATGTGACTGTCTGCAAAGAACGGTGAAGCACTTTAGGATAATCCCTAAGGCACAATACGGTACATGGGCAGTTAACCGTCCACGGTCAGGGTAAGTATTAAACGCCAGACTCCTCATGGCTGGCTCGCTGCTCCCTCTCGAGGCAGAAGTAGAGAAGTTCACTTCTTTTTGCATGGAGTTCAAAGAGCCCCATCTCTCTCTACAAGACTAACCCTACACGGAAAAGGCCAAGCCTGCAGACATAATAAGCACTGTTTTTAGAATAAAACCATGCAGGACAAGGTTGGATGTCTTGTCTACCAATGAAGCAATGGACAACAAGTCCTCTGACACAACTAGGACAAGGTCAGCTACCACCGGCTTTCACACCAGCAGCAGAATCCCTATTCTGTGAGTTATCTAACTGTAAAAAGAAGAACATAATTTCCACTAAATTTGCACCACTTTAACTAAAGGTTAAACAGTATTTTTATTGTGAGGTTGCTCCTAACTGGCTGCTCATTTATTTCCATTTCTGCCCAAGATCCACTGTCAGACAAGCAAATTTGCACTGAAGCACTGGCTTACAGTCAGTATAAACGTCTTCACAGAGGTTTGCAAAGGCAATTAAGTCAGCTTCTAAATCAGTTTTAATTGACAAAGCACATGACTACAGCTCGGTTTTAGGCTCAAGCCAATCAATGAAAGACTAGAGGCAGAGCACTTAACTACCACCTTACAAATTAAGTATGTCACACCAGCTATTCTAGGAGCTAAGCAACCTCTGAAAGCCTCACGTATGTGTACAAGCACGGAGTTAATTTCTGAGGACACAGAAGAGACAAATCTTACATTCCTCAGCTACATTACCATGAATCAAACTTAGGTTTTTAACTTTCCATTTAAATCTGAGGCATCAGATAATTTGTTCAACAAATACTGCTTTATCCAAGTTATTCACTTTCCAGGTATTAATCTCCTGCAAAATAATTTTAAGATTTACTTCATTAAGCTTTTTTAGGCCCCTCAAGTTTATGGACTACATTCATAAACCAAGTGACAACACCACACCCTAGCAGTTGTGTCCATAGGCCTTTTCCAAAGTCAGCTGTTGCATCACAAGTACCCTGTACAGTCCATGAGAAAAGTACAATGGATGAGAACTGTGGGCAAAAGCATTAGCAGACTGAGAAGACAACTGTCTACACTAACCATTAAGGAACTCTGATGATAAATCTTCTTTTCTGGAGATTCACAGCCCTGGAAGTGTAGTGGCAGTAACTTCAGAAACTTTTAGTCAGAGATGAAGGCAGCCAAACCCACAACTACGGACCAGACTATCCACTAAAGTCATGTTTGGGATGGTCATGTTTGACACACCTCTGTTCACATAGGATCAAGACTACATTTCCCTAAACAGTGGGCTAGATTCACATTCTCTTTCCCCACTCAGATCATCAACCTGTAAGTTTTTGTCCTTACGCTGGCATAATCTCTAGAGATAATAGATGATTTCTCTTCCTGATAGCAGCCCATAGTATGGACGACTGAACTGACCCCAGGCCTCCAACCATGTGCTTTTAACAACTAAGCCGTAACTACAAAGCTGGTTTCGTGCAACAGCAATTACTCTTCAGACATTTGTATAAAGGAAAACCCGTGGATGTACATTAAGGAACACTTAGAGCACAACAAAAGCATTCAGAGCCAATCAGACCAAGATGCAGAGGTGGCAAGACACCTAACCCAACCACACAGAGATGCCAAGATCTTCTATAGGAATAGGCACAGGCCTGTGGGTAATACTCTTGGATGTGCATGCGAGAATGTAAGTATAAAGTTGCCCATTTATAAATCCAGTGAAAAAATGCTCATGAGCACAGCAGATACCTGTAAAGTCATTCTTCATTGTGGGAATGGAACATTTGATAAAATGCAGTGGTTACAAGTTGAAACTAGAGAAACCCTGCGTAGAATTAAGGTCCCTATTCAAAGATTCATAAGTTACTTTGGCTTTTCACCAGCCTGAAACCAAAACACAACTGAATCATCACCTGCCATTCAAATGGTGCTGTGCATAGCATGGGCTCATGGTGTGCTAATACTCAGGCCATGTGAAATTCAGCCTGTTTCCAAAGCCAGCTGTTTGCCACCAATGATTCTGCAAACCACCAAGGGGCTGGAGACACTGCCTGCTTGAAGTCAGACACAGCTGTTGGGAAGGCAGGAAAAAAACCCTGCAAAGTTCTGTGGCATGTTGCACGCGAGAAGAACATCTCTGTTCCCTTCTTTGGAAACAGCTACAAGACGTAATTAACAGAAAGTACACAGAGGGAACTAAACCAGACACTCAGTGGCATTGTAACAGTCATCTAATTACTTTCTTAAAAGTCTAAAACAAAAATGCCTGATAGAAAAAAAAAAAGCAAAACCAAACCCCACACCAGTGAAACAAATTGTGTGTTTATCAAGTCAGTGAGGCATCTATCTAATCACTGCAATGCAAACAGTTCATATGGAACCACAGTTTTCTGGACAGCATCAGTACCACCTCTGGTGGCATGACAATTGTCTTCGATCTACTGATCAGTGATAGCAGGGAATACAGGCTGTGCAGTGATTCCCTGCAACTCTTTCAGAAACTGAAAGCCATGAAAGTTTAGGACTCAGGAGCTTATCAGTAAGAGCTGGTTAAAAGGTTAAGATATTCTTTTACATTTTTTTGTTTTTTATAATGATGTATCTGTCTGACATTCAAGAACTCTACTCACTTTGGATCTTCTATAAGAACCTCCAATGTGTTGCTCCATGAAGGAACAGTATCAAAACCATGGAAATAATCTACTACTCCCATTTCTAAATATATCAAAAGTACTGCAAACACAGAAATAACTGAAGGTTTGAACTTAAAATGAAGACAAAACCCCAACACAGGCAGCTAAACAGACTTCAAAGTCTTAAGTAAGTTTGTGCTTGTAATACCTATTAAGCCAGCTGAGCTTTTTTTAATTACCAAGTCCTCATCCAGTAACACACCTGGTCAATATCAGCATTCCGAGGTAGAAAGTACACAATATTGTTGGTGATCTTCTTGGAGAGCCTGAAAATTTCAAATGTAGAAGCCAGTAAAGGAAAAACCAAGAACAGGGAAGGAGAAGTTGTTTTATATTCATTCATATTAAAAGTATGTTCTAAATACAGTTATTATGCGATTAAATTATAGCTAGTCTTCTGGGTATGTCTTAGTTTTACTCTTCTGAAATGCAGAAACCCGTATTGTCTAAATGCAGAAAATCTGTTTCATCATTATTGCCCTAGAAAACAGAGGAAAAGGAAACCTCACTTTTAAAGTTAACCGAGCTATAGATGTATATGAGAAATCTGAATGTAGTTTATAGCTAGTACATTGGTTTGATTTTTTTTTCTAATCCATTTCGTGGAATATCTGTCACACATACATACAAAGAGTTTCTTACTCTTATAAACGTGGCTACATTTTAGACAAAAAGGGAACAGCTAAGATTTTTCTTAGGGGAAAAACCCACCACACTTCATATTTGATGAAACTATTATGCTAATGCCTTCCCAGATGAATGAGTACTCAATACCACTGTTAATAAGTCTGGAATTTTATACATTAATTGAAAGGGTTAATATTTTGCTTACAATCTTCTGTGATTTCCCAAGTCAGGCGCTATGATTGAGAAGTTTGAGTAAGACATGTAAAATAAGATACACCTTTCATAAATCAATTAAAAAGTGGTATCGATGACAAAGTCATCGATCATGTGACTAATTATTACCTATATATATACATACCACATGGCTATTTGATTACTTTAGGGTATTTTAATAAAATAATATAAAAGAGTTAAAACTGCTGAATTAATGCTTTTAAGTTAAGAAACTACTACAATTCTTTAAGCGATTTTTTACTTTTAAGAAGTCTTCATGCTTTTTTCAAATAAAAAACTCATAATACTAAATTTTAGGTGGTCAGTCACAGAATCATAGAACAGCTTGGGTTGGAGGGGACCTTCAAAGGTCATCTATTCCAACCCCCAGTCATATAGCTCAGGTTAGGGCAGGAGTAAACAAATGCAGCACATCTGAGATTTCAGCTGCTGGCCAAATCATTTCCAGTCAGTCAACCAGATGTGCAAAGCCCATGTTGAGAGGGAGCGGAAGAAAGAGAAAACCGCTCGTAAACAACTGAAAATCACCCCAGCATGTAACTCTGAAAGGATATCCATCTGGGCAAATCATGGTCTTGATATTGAAGATTTCAGCCGTGGCGTAGTCCGGTCCCCCCCAGGGTGGGCTGAGGAACACAACATCTGCTTTCAGGTCAGCAGCCAGCACCATGAAGTCTCCACACACAAATTCTATCTGATCCGCCACGCCATATACCTCAGCGTTGTTGCGCGCAAGACTGAGCTTCTCAGGATCAATATCAATAGCAATCACTGCAAACCAAAGAGAGCAAACACAGAGGTTAACTTGAACTGCTAATCCCAAGTGACCACCAAAAGGATGTCTTCAAAAGAAAGGTGTTCCTCTGCAGCCAGCAGATACAAGTCATGTCTATAACCTACTATTGTGAAGTGAGCGACTACTTCAGTTTTGTTGGTCATAGTAGACACGAAGCAACAGCTCCGTAGAAGGGAAGGACCTGTCCTTGCAAGACAGCAGCAGATGTTCCACCAAGAGCACAACTGCTGCATTTCCAAAACAACAAGGGAAGTCACACAGCAAAGACGGGGAAGTCTCAGCTGCTGTTACAAAGCTGAGAAGCTTTAGCTTTTGGCTGTCATACATCTACCAACATGACTCCTCCGTCTCAGCTCAAGTAGTTGACAAGTTGTCCGCTTTGTCTTAGGCTGTCTGCCTAAGAGAGGAAGTCCTCCTTGCTTCAATTGTTGCAGGAGCCTGACAATGGTGTCAATTAGAAACTTACTCTTCCCCTTTGTTGAACGTTTATCTGTGGTGGGTAACATTGTACTGAAAATTGAGTTAAAAAACCCCAAACAACACAGCACAAGAGAGGTGATACAAGGGCAGTGCATAATGACAGAAATAAAAATTTGGCCAGGAAATATGAAAAGTGAAATTTGGAAAACATTTATAGAATGGATCATAGCCTATGTAGAAACAGCAGTAGAAACTGCTGTCTTGCTCAGAAATTACTCAGAAGCATTAAATGAGCTGATTTTTTCCCCAGAGCGTTTGATGAATATCAAGTAGTCAGTGTTTTTACAGAAGCACTCTCAATCTTTCACAGCAATTTCATTTGTTGGCAACAGGAACTTAGACTAATACTAAGTTGTTATTATCACTTTTCTGTATTTGCTTCTGCTGCACCTGCACATGATCCCATTCAAGTGTTTTAAGCACTGCTCTCATGTAACCTGGTTTTGAGTACACAGACTTGGTGTAACAATTGGGAAAAGCAGGAGCTTTGTGGCATCTCTGCAGTCAGGACTGCAAACAGAACTCAACCTTTACCAGCAATCTTCAGAGCATCTGACAGACTAGTTACTATGACATGTAAAAATAACTTTGACTAGTACCACACAAATCCAACTCTGACTTAAAACAGAAATGCAGTTTTATAGGTCCTTTTTAAAAACAGGAAGCTCATATTGTAAATGTGATGAAACAAAAAAGCTTCTGTTCCTTCAGAAGCACTGAAAAAAAGGATTAAAAAGCAGTGAACAAAATGCATACCCAGATTTTTAGGGAAAAAGAGTGAAGAAACAAAATAAAGTGCTACATAGAACATCTGCTTACCTCTTTTTGAGGTCAATGCAAACTGAATAGCATTTCCTCCAACCCCACAGAATGCATCCACTATGATATCGCAGTTGAATGACTGACTAACCCGGATGGCAATATGCTCAGCTATTTTCTCAGGAGTAACAGAAAACCAGCCCTCTGCAAAGGAAAGGAAGAAGTGTATTTTCATTTCTTATTCCAAGGTCACCTAAATTAAAAACAAACAAACAACACACACAACTGAAGGTTTAGTGTTAATCCCAACAATTTTGGCTTAGCGCATTCGACCAGGAAATACAGGCTTTGACGATGATAAACTCAGGTCAGTCCAGCAATTTGCTAAGCAAACAAAGTCTCACTGAAGCAAACAGATATGCCCAAATCTCAGTAAATGCTTTGTTGAATGTGGTGCTGAGGATCCTGGCTTATCAAGGACAAGTCCACTGAGACAGCTATAAAAAGCTTCATACAGCACAACTATGTTCTATAACAAATAAACCAGATATGTATCCTCTCTTATCCAATGTTGTTTTCTTTACAGCAATGCCTGGTCTCCCACATAATCTACATGTTTATGTGAGAGAGCATTAGAAGTGAAAGGCTTACAAAACCAACACATGCCAGACATAAAGGAGCAGTAATCCTAATCCTTTTTTACCCCAAAATTTATGATTTGGAAATGGTTTCCATGTAAACATGGAAAAAAGTAACTTTGAAAGCGACTGCTGAAAGTCAGAACAAACTAGGTCCATGAGCGTATTTGGAAGTTTCACAAAATTCTTTTATAAAATAGAGAAACAGAAAAATGTCATTGAGTTTTTGAAAAAGACCAAGCAAAATTTGGGTACAGCATGACTAGTAAACATGAGGACTAATGCAAACAGGGGTGTCCCATGCTAGAAGCTGTACTGAAGTCCAAGACTTCTGTTCACCTGCCTGCTGGGGTGCATGTGCGACCACACACTCAGTAACACTCCTCATAAGAAAATCAGTACAAACTGTGAGAAGTGCCACAGGTTTGGATATATCTTATACCACTAAACACACTTTGTACTAAGCCCACCTCTGTCCAGCTTAATTCCCTCATCAAACCGAGAGAAGAGCCGGTAGCGTTGTGCCCAGTACTTGATGAGCTCCGGATCAGCAGCAACCTCGGCAGGCATAGCTCCCAGTGCAATTTTGTTCCTTCTTCTCCTTTTTTTCTCCTTCTTCTTTGTGACATTTTTTTCATCTACATCTGGCAGACAATGCAAAAGTTAACAGTCACTGTTCTTGTAGGCTAGGAATGTAATTTGTAGGCAGGTGAGAGATAAGATGCAAGATGCTCAGGTTTAGAAACACTGTTAGATGTCCTTCTCTGCTGTTTGCCAGATTATGCAGATTAGTGGTTTAAATTTAAAAAAAATCATCCTCTGTTTCAAGGGAATGGTGTTACCTGACAGGTATCAGCCACAGTCCTAAATAACATTTCAGGTGAAGAGCCTTAACAGCCTAGCCATTATCTTCAACTGATGGCAATAAACTCTATATAGCGAGCAAACAAGTGAATCAGAGACCAATTTAATGCCCTTGTATAAACAAGGAGTAAGAACCAATCTAGATGAGAGCTTTCAATTAGAAATTTAACATCATCAAATTACCGTAGGAAGGATTAAACTATATGCAGAAAACTGAATAAGCCTGTTTTCCTTTGTTTACAGTGTTTAATAGTAAACTTCATAACACAGGTTTCCTCCTCCTCCCCCCTGAAAATAATTTCAACAACACATACTCCTCAAAGCTCAGCAATATGCACTGAGAAACCCAGACCTCACGGTCTGCTCATCTACATGGAGTTAATCACCCTCATCCTTACAGGGAAAAAAAGGTGTGAATTGAAACCTGTTAGATTGCGCATAGGATCAACCATGACTCTTCACCTATAAAGAAATACTGACAATATTGAAGACACTTCCTCTAGCACAGCTCTCAATCAACCTCATTAACCCTTGGACTTAATGAGTTTCTTTGGATAAACAGAATAAACATATCTCAAATTACATGTGCAGTAAGGCAGTAAGTACTAAGTCCACTGTCAACTCGTTTCCAGTTTGTAGGAAACTGATGTACCTTGGCTGACGTCCTCTGTCTCTTCGCAGAGATAATCGGGAATATCCAGAGAGACTAGCTGCCGCCTCTCCCGTCTCCCTGCACCCTGGCCATCGGAGGCACTTGCTGTCACCTCCTGCGCTTCCTCCTCAAGGTAACCCCTTTCAGGTTCTGTCGGGGACACACTGGAAGACGGTGGCTTTTGGTTTTCAGCGCTCAGCGTCGCAGTCTGTGCAGCAGTAGTGCCTTCCTGATCCTCCGAGTCGCTGCTCACAGACAGTGACTCTGCTTTGCCCTGAGTTGAGGCTGCCTGGGATGTGGCTTCCGCTCCAGGTTTATTAACCCGCTTTAGGAACATTTCCACCTGCAATTGTCAAATATCACACGTGATCAGATGGTGTTGTTAACCAGTTATCAAGAGCACAGCTTAAGCGTTACAGTTCAAAAGCACCTGCCATGCAGGAACTCTCTGCCATATATATTTTGAAAAAAAGTAAAATATCCAGAGTCAAAACATTCAGGAAGTCACCAACTGACCTCCCTTTTTACACCATTTGGAAAAAAGTTAGCTTTGGGAACTAGATACCAGCTATTTGCAACAGGAAAACTCCATAAAAATTGACTGATAAACTTATGTCCTAGTTTTGGCTGGCACAGAGTTAATTCTCTTCCTAGTAGCTGGTGCAGTGCTGTGTTTTGGCTTTAGTATGAGATCAATGTTGATAACACAATATGTTTTAGTTGTTGCTCAGCAGCACTTACGCTGATCAACGACTTCTCAGTCTCTCACGCTCTGCCAGTGAAGAGGGGCACTGGAAGCCAGGGGGGAGCAGAGACAGGACACCTGACTCAAACTAGCCAAAGAGGTATTCCATACCACAGCATGTCATGCCCAATATATAAACTGTGGGGAAAAATTGGCTGGGAGAGATCAATCACAGCTCTGGGATAGGCTAGGCATTGGTCAGTGAGCAATGTATTGTTCATCAGTTGTGCCTTCTGAACTTTTATTTCTTTTTTGTTATTAATTATTATTATAACTATTATTGTTATTATTTATCATTTTATTATTATTTCAATTATTAAACTGTTCTTACATCAACCTGTGGATTTTACATTCTTCCAATGCTCCTCTCCATCCTGTCTGGGTTTAAATCATTCTCAAGTAATATCTGAAATATAGTCAGACTTGCCATGGCACAGGTGACCAAGACTACTGCTTTTTAGATCACTACCTTTTCTCGAATCTGCAGTCATAGAAGCTGTACTCTGACTTTTAGGTTAGCATCAACAGGTAAAATTACCTTCATATATTACCTTCATCCTCATCTGCAAGATGTACCAAATGGTGCATGTGCTGAAGGGTTCTGCTGCACAGCAGACATCCCCACATCACATACTACCCAACATGCAGACACTAGTCTATACTCTTCAAAGGCATTCACAGGTGCTCACTTGTACATTACAGTTGCTCTGAGTGGCCCTAGGCCTGGGGCAGTTGCTTACCAGAAAGTCTGAGGAAATGCATAACTTCTTTTCCTTCACACAATTAAAGTTGCCCTAGAACTATGCTGGCCTCAAGTATAAGATGGCAACGGCTGAGATTTTCTTTTGATCAAAAATCATAGCAGTGGGACTGGAGTTCTGAGGTAACAGATTTTAAAGGGGCTCAACTCAGAAAAAACTACAGTGAACAATTTTTTTCTACTTATTACTAATTTCTGAGATAAAAATAATGAAGCATAAAATTATAGTTTAAAATAAATGCAGGCAGCGGTGTAAGCAAAGATGTTGATACAAATTACTAAGAACACAGCATTACATAAATCACACTAACCTATACAAACATTTTTCTCTCCCTGCTGAAATGTTAGCACTACCAAATGCCCCCAAATGCCTTTTAAAATCAGAGATACTGCTAGTAACTATAAAAACCTACACACATCTCCAAAGAAATGATGCACCCAGATGTTAGGAATGACTTTCACATAACTTCACCATTAAGCTCAAAATCCCCTTGACAGATTGCCAAGAATACACCAATATACTAAGGGAGCAGATAAATCTATGAATTACAGCAACACTAAAATTTAAACCTACCTTCTTCAAAGTTTTATTTTTTTTGCAAGACATTTCAGATTCCTCTGTAAAGAAGATGTGTGTGTTTTTGCTCTTCTTTGGTTTACGCATATCCAAGAACTTGGACTTGAGTTTTGCTTTTTTCTCCAAGTACTGCACACTTCGGTGGGTGAAATCGGGAATTCCACCATACCTGAAATTGAAAACCACAAACAACCCCCCCGTTAGTTGGTTAATTTCCAACCTGGAAGTTTTAACATGAAAGCTGACATCTACAGAAGATGATTTAAACTATTTCTTTATGAGATATTTTTTCCGCTCCTAAAATAAAATATATGTCACCGAATGCAGCTGTGAAACAATGTACCTTCATGAAAACTTTTACATATTTTTATTTGAAAATGTTTATCCAACTTGATTTTCGGTTGTTTTGGTTGTTTTTTTTTATTCTTGTGTATATATATACACACATATATATGCAACTTTTGATAGAAATTATTTTCCATACCAGCCTAAAGAATAGGAAATGAAAAAACGTCTTTGATTACTAAAACGACTCTTTGGTGGCTGTAAAGAACGTCCAAAACAGCGACTTCTGTCTCCTGGCAAATGTAATTAAATAAAAAGGGCAATTCACTTAAAATAAATTTTATAAAGCAGAACAAAGATTGTCAACTGCAAAACACTCTTGTTTGTCTGAAACATGTAATTATATATATATACACTACATATATATATATATATATATACCCACACCCTAAACAACTGGTATCTCACAGAAGCGCTAGACCTAAGCTACAGTCTGCCTGTGCCCTACAATGTTACTTCTACAGCACTGACCACCCTATTGTTAGGTCATACCACCAGAAAAGAAATTTCACTGGTCAGCACCCTGGCAACACTTTATTAGTACAGAAACATTTTACTAGTATAAAGCAACCTGATTCAAACATGAAATAGCTATAAATTATGATCTAAACTTACAGGACTCTGAACTGAGAGGGCCATTCATTGTCAGAGCCTTTAAGCTCTAATTTAAGTAGCTGACTGGACATCTAGCATTTACACAACTGCAAGTATCTTGCGATTTACACTTCTGTTTCAAAGTAATTTCCTTGTTCTTTTATTAGTCTCTACCTTTGCATCTCACTCTAGCCAAAGAATGACAGTTTTATTAAGAGCAGAGACTAACTTTGGAATATCTTCAAAAGCTTTACAAAATGGAAATGGAGATGAATGGTCTATTTCAGTAATAACAAGAAAGCTGACTTGCTATGAAGAAACCCCGAGTTCCTCATAAGCAATTACTTTTGTCCTGTGCCACACTTAAAACCCAAAGCAGAACAGGTTTTCTCAGGATCTTCCACTGGGTTCTCATCCACATCCAGTTCATGGCTAGGAAAAAACGCAGATGACAAGGTTAGTATCTATAAGAAACACTCTAATTTTACAGATATACCACTAAAACTCATGTGTTGAAAACATTTAAATGTGGGCTTCAGTATGTTCTTCCACACACTGCTGAAACCAAGCAAAGCAGGTAATACCAGCCTATTCATATGCATGGGCACATACTTCTTCCAGGGTTTCTGTTTGGGGTTTTTTTTTACCCAATTCAAGATGTCCTTCCATTGGGGTTATAACATTCCAGCTATTCCAAATGACTTCTTAAAATATTTAAGATCAAGCCTACAGGGAACTGGTGAAGACGATGTTTATTTACCCAATTTCCAAATTGCCTTCAGCATCTATTATTAATGCTATGGCAACAGCCAAATATTAGAATGAAACTGGAGCTATATGATTAGCAGATAATAATTCCATCCATGCCTTCACCTTTGAGTTTGTACATTTATTAGGGAGGAAGAGCCATCTCATCATCTTTGAGGCTATAAATTTCTAGAGAATTAAAAAGACTGTAACAAGGCAGAGATTGGCTATTTTACGATTGCCATTGCACTGAGCATTTTACTGGCAGCATAAAATATAGTTTAACAATACAGATTATTTACTATTGTTCTTGTATTGTCTACACAAATTAGATCTAGGTAAGCAAGCTGTCTGATCCAATTTAACAATCTTGTATACTTCAGTGACACAAGAATAGTACCATCACCTTGCACAGTCACCGAGGCCATACACTGCTTTCATAAAGCAGAAATATCCACTGCTTGTTACCAGGTAAAGTGATAAGCAATGATAGAAGACTCTTGTTCTGTACTGAAGTTTTAACCCACAGTCTCAATCAAACAAATAGTTACTATAAAGTAGGACGCTTCTAGACTTGGGCTTCTTGAAATAAAAAGTTCATCTACATTTTATGACTCGCCTTCTCTTGACTTTGACATGTCTGCATTCAGGAGGCTCTTCATCCTCGTCTTCATCTCGGTCACAATGCAGCAACTGCTCTTTTTCATTAGAGTTTGAACTACATGACCCCTGCAAACCTGAAGATAGGTTAAGATTATACTTTCCTTTTGCCTAAATTAATTCCTTATCTCCCTGTCCCCAAAGTATGTCTGCAGCTACAATTAGATTGTTGTACATACCTGAATCTGACAATGAGACACAAGTGCCAAACACATGTATCTTTACCTGTCTCTGCTTGAGGGACAACATACCAATACAAGCTTCCAGTATCAGTTACACAGTAGAGTTAATAAACTTTAGTAAGACCAACTTCAAATTATCTCAAGCTCTCCAAGAAAAATGCCTACGAGGTACAAATTCAAAAGAGTTTCTTCCCTGGATGTATATTTTGTTTTCATTTTATTAAATATGCAAAGATATGCACATACACCTAATGAGAGGATTCCAGAACTCCTCGTTTCTTGTTGGAAAGGAGATTTTCCTTTCATCTCTCCGACTCTTACCTCTACTGTAGGATCCAGATGAGAACACACCTGCTTCTTCTTTCCTTAGAAGGTCACTAGAAGCAGAGTTAGAGTTCCCACCAAACTGAACTCCCGAGCTGCTGACACTTAACTCATGTGCTTCATCCCTCCTCTTAGCAGGGGAAACCATTCAAAAGTCAGGAAAGACATTACACTGCTGCTTACAGCAAACACTAGCAGGAAGAACTGGCAGGCAAATGAGATGGGGCTCTCCCTTCTCTGAACAGCCTGGCCTAGTAGAAGGTATCCCTGACTGTGTCAGGGAAGTTGGAACTAAATGATGTTTAAAGTCTTTTTCAACCCAAACAATTCTATGATTCTAAGAAAAACATCTCCAGCTCAGTCTTTGTACCTCCCTCACAGAGTCTCTTCCAGTGGTGTAAGGCATAGCCACTATGCTACAAATACTAGCTCACTGCCTAATTGATAACTTAATGCTGGAAAGGACCTCTGGAAGACATTTTATCCATACTAACATGTTACACCAAAACAAGAGTTTATTCACCAATATGGCATTTTTTAGACAGAAGGCAAAAATCCTTCCAACCCCAGAACTGCAGAGCTATTTTTTTCCTCTGAAAAAGCTGTTCTTAAAATTTGTCAGTCATGAGAACAAAAACCTGAGTTTTCATTCATTTTAGACTATCAGTGAGAAAAGACAAATCATCTGAATGACACAGCTGAATGAATTACAATACTAATACTAAGATAAATAAATATGCACTAGCAGTGCTGTCTCATCACTTTAAGTAGTACATCTGAAGATTTATGAAGTACGTGTTCTATTAAAATTACTTCTGGCTGAAGAATGCATTCAATATACAGGTTAGAGAGGATCACCCAGAAAAGCAGAGGAAAGAAAAAGGAATTAAGTATGTAGTTATTCCGCAAAATATTTGATTAACTTTTTAAAAATGGCGTAATACAGACAGGCCCTTATTTCTTATATATAACCACATACAGAAATTCTGGTAAAATCAGTTTTATCTGATTCTGTATTACCTGATTGCTTAATACTTTTATTTTCACAAGATGCACTCCTTTTCCTGGATCCTCCATCACAGGGCTCTTCCTGGCTTTCACTGTCAGATGAATTATGCTCTTGAGGACCTTGGTGGGAAGCTGTGCTACACTGCTCCACTTCCTCCAAATTCAGGTTTAAATTACAAATCCCAGAAATTATTTCACTGTGGGGCTCAGCACTTGAAGGGAGTGTTTCCTCATTTCTGGTGTCAGAGGTAGAAAGCTCCAAGGTCAGCACTTCACTGTGTTCAGTCCCTGGGCTAATCAAGTCCGTTACCGTCTGCTGGGTAATCCCATCAGCTTTCACGCTGTCTCCGTGTAAGCTCTCAGTAGTCCATCCTTGACTTGTCCAGTAATGAAACTGTTCCCAGTAATACCAGTACAGTTCGCTATAATGCCGCTCCCATTCTTCCCGTGTATCTGGACTATTCCAAGGCTCAGAGGCAGTGGTGGTCTCAGACAATGAGATCTCTTGATGCTTCTCCAACCAACTTTGCCAAAGAAGGCCCTCCCCATACTCGCTCCAGTACTTCTCCCATTTTTCTTTAAGTTCACTGGGTAAAGTCTCATTTGCAAGATTTTCTGAACTTTCACAGTTCCCTTCACTTACAACCTGAGGTTTGTTGCTTTTCTCACACTGCTCTGTAGCTAGGACCAACTCATGAGAAATGGACTGGATATGATCACCACAAACTTGATTCTGGCATTCCTGCCCCATTTTATCCTCATGTTTTTGCTGTAACTCTTTTTTCTTCTTTTTCTTTTTCATCATCTTCATGTTACTTCTCTTTCTATAACTTTCTGTTGCCTAAAATATAATGGAAAAAATGCCTAGAAGTCCACAATGTTTATACAGTCTTTTCTTGTCCTCTCTCCAAGCACATTTCTGTTGTAATCCTCCCTCTTACTGCAACCCTCCTGTTAAGCTCTCTCCCCACAAAAGATTGTAGGGTTTATGGGTCTGACAGGGCCCTGCTGCATGACCTTGGCTCACATTTCTGTGGAGGTTGTGAGAAACAGCTGTGACAAAGTGTACAGAAAGATAACACAAAAGAAAGGCAGGATCACAGACAGAAGTGGAGCTGCTGAGAGGAAAATCATTAGTAGCTCAAGGATTCAGAAGGGGAGACATCAACATGAAACACTATAAAGTCCTAAAGAGAGGTTGGTCAGGAACTGAAGGGTCACTGGGTTGAGCTCAACAATAAAACAGTATCTCAGTAATATCAAAGAGCTTTTTTTAGGGGGCCATGGATACTGACCCTTACTGTTGTCAGGTATCTGCCTGGGCAGCGAACATTGTTCAGATGTCTTATTAGGGTAGTGAACATATAATGCTCAGCTTAATAGAATGCTAAACCATTGCTATATTTGGGTGCTTTAAAAAAAACCAAAAAAAACCCAAAAGCATCACTATATACTCATAAGCTCTGTAAATCCTGCAGCTGCATCTCTGTATGTCTGAAGACACTGACGTAAAAGAAGGGTGTAATATTCTTCCCATCCCATACTGATCTCCAAGTTGGCTAAACAGAAAGACAAAGGAACAGCCTCCTCTCCAAACAGGTGGCCCCTTCATTTGTGCAATACACACATTTCACTTGTTACAAAAACTCAGGCTCCTACCGTTGTCTAGTGGACAGAAACCTGTTATTGAAAGGAAATCCTAAGGAAAAATATTGGTTTCATCAACAACTCTACTTATATAAAGAAGATAAAAACATCCAAGAAAGGCAAGTTTTTCAATCAGACAAATCTGTTGTTTTGGTTTTTTTTTTCCACAAACTGCCAAATTAAATTTGGCAGGTAAGAAGGTGGTAGTGATGAGGGTCTACAACCTACATGGGCAAAAGCCTGCAAATGTACAGCTATTACTCCAAATGTCCCATCAGATGCAATCCCTACTTTTGTCGCATTGAAAAAAACATAAAGTGGACGGTAAGAAGTTAGGTTCATAGAGCTGGCATTAAGCTCTCATCTACATCCCTCATAATGCCATGTTAATACATATAGTGCAAATCAGGTCAGAACCTGTGAAAACATGCACTCAGACTGGAGTGTACTAGTTGTCCTGATGCAGACCATCAACGTTACCACACCTGCTCTAAACCAGCTCTCTCTAGTAGCAAGAGCAGTATAGAAATGGAAGCATGAGGCACAGCTGACCCTGTTTAGTCAAACTGGCAGGTGGATTTTACAAACCGCAGACCACAGTGCTGTACGTTGGTACAAGTACATGAGGCAGACAGCTCAAAGGCAGCTCACATCACTTCTGTGAACTGCAGTCCCCAAATAACTGAGAGTAGACATGCCCCTACGTCTGGAAACACAAAGTAAACAGAACAAATAAAGCAAATAAATATTTACCACAATGTCTCTGTGGGCTGACTGCCCACCAAACTGAAGAGGCAATCCCATGCTTTTCATAAGCTCAGCCTCCGAGTCTAGTTCAACTTCTTCCAGGTCCAGAGCATGATTAGTATCCACCTTCAATGTGGATACATTGGGACAATGGTTCTCCTCAGATGGTTGTTCATCTCCTAGTAAGAAATTATATGAATATAAAATAATATCTAAATCTGGTTCTGACACCTCAATGCCTAAAAAAACCACAACAGTAGAACTGCCTCTTAAGCTTCCTTTCCCATTTAAAACTTTCCTCATAAATACCTTCATTTCTGCCTAAATATCAGTAGATAGCCAAAACATCGCTCCCTGTCTGGCTGCGATGGAGCTAGCTTTCTTCATAGCAGCCTCTATAGGTGCTTCATTTGGGATTTGTGGCTAAAACAAATATGTTTTGACTATTGCTGAGCAGCAATTGCACAGGCTTGCACAGCCTTATAACTTTCTCTTTTCCACAGTGCTGGGGTGGGCAAGAGATCAGGAGGAGGTATAGGTAGGACTGCTGGAACAGACTAGCTGAAGGGCGAGTCCATACCATATAATGTGATGGGCAGTAATAAAAACTGGGTGCTTGGGGTCGATCCACCACATTCACCTCAATAACATGCAGAGCAAACTACAGTGATGCCCAGCAAACAACACAAAAATTGGTATTATGAAAAGAAATCCTTTACAGGAGTTCTTCTGGCACGTATCACAGCAAACCTGAAATCAAAGGCACACTAAGAAAAATAGTATGATTTTACAAAAATGTAGTGTGTGAACTACAGAACTTAATTATCTCAGAAGTAACTGATCAGCTATTGAATCACTGCTTGCACATCTATCAAATTTTTAAGCAACATCATATGAACATAAAACGACAAATACCACTGAGAAAGTAGGAACTGGATAGTGATGGAAACCATGAAATACAAAGTATCTTGACACAGTTGATAAAATTGAAACAATCACAGAATTTTTTTTTTGTCATGATACATTTACTGCCAAATTATCACATAGCACAATACCCTTTTGGTTTTAAATGATTACTCTCACCAGAATTCACTCATATATGCACAAAACCAAGGTTTACATTCTCCTTCTTCACTCCTCCCACATTGTGTACATTTAATCTGTGCTATTAATTATCAGCCTCTATGAATATTCCTTAACGTTTAGACTTCTTCCTTTCAAATTAAGATATTACAGGATACTGAAGCTAGCATGACAGCAAAGGCAAAAACAGATACCAAAAGTACCATTTTCCAAATTCTTCACATATGCCTATCTGGAAGACAGAGCAAAGGAATAGTGTTAAAATTGCCCGAGCATGCATCATGATCATTCCTAAAATACAAGCATGCCAAGGGAGAGACTTACTCTTCTCATCCTCCTTACTTATCATGTAAACATACATCATAATTCTTCCCATCAGTGCTACTGCTTCTTCTCTGCTTCTGGCCCATCAGATTAATCTGCAACAGCTAATATCCTAGACTGGGGTACAGGCAGCAGGACAGTGCTGCTCCCAAGCAAACATCCAGGATTGGCAGACACTCCATTATATGACCAATTTTGAGATAGTTGAAGTTACGATTTAAGAGCAGGCTGGGGACCTGACAACTGATCTGCTCCATGTAGCAGATGGAGGCTATGTGAGGTAGTGAGTCTGTCTGGACAGGAATAAGCATCACACCTGGTTTGACACAAACTTCCACATTGAGATTACGGTATTTTGAAAGCTATGCAAGTACTAAGATATTATTCACATCTATCCCCATACAAAAGTAGTGAAGAATAAGTCAGAAATAAGAATGTAAGTAGCCACAGATAACTCACTTTAAGTATGACCGCACACTGTACCACACAGTAGATATTATTACCCTACCTGTACTGTCATTGTCATCTTTGACATAAAATCCTTTTAATCCCAGTTTATATAATTTTCGATCTCTGTAAAAATGAAGACAGACATTGATGCAGAGGGTCATCCTTAAAACTTTATTTTTTTTTACAGTAAAAACAATCATTCAGTGGAAATAAACTCTGCAAGGATGTGGTAAAATCCCCATTGCTGGAGGTTTCAAGATGTGGCTGGGCAGGGTGCTAAATAACCTCCTCTAGGCTCCCTTTCCCACGAAAGGCTGGACCAGATGACCCTTCCCTGTCCCTTCCCACCTGGGCTGCCCAATGAGTCCAAACACATGGAACAAAGTAAGATGTTGAAAAGGCAACACTTGAAAGCCCGATGGGAAATCCTACACAAGAGATGCTCTGAAAATGCTGTTCCATGCAACAACGGAATTATACTTCAGCTGCACAAAAGCTTCTGCATAAGCAGCATTTAATGTCTCCAGCCCCAAACAGCAACTATTTGAGACATCACCCAATGCTGAAAGCGCCTCATCTCCGCAATGCCGCCGTAACACCGAGTGTGTTTGATAGCAAAAGCCCCGGTTAACAGCCTCAGCCTCTTCTCCCCTATCACGCACCGACGACTGACGCCCGCGAGCAGCATTTCCCACCCCGCGCTGAGAAACCCGGCCCTCCACGTGGCTCGGTTGGGCTCCGGGTCCCTCCGCACGCCTTTGGGGAAGCGATAAGGGGACGGAAGCACTCGGAGGCGGAAGGGAGCTGGGAGGGGGAGCGCTCGGGCCGAGCACCGCACAGCCGCGGCCCTCGTCAGACATACAGCACGGCCCAGGAGGAAGCGGGCTCCAACCGAAGAGACCGCTACTACGCGCCGGGCCGCGTCCGCTCCGGCAAGAGCTCTCCGCGGGAGCCAGTGTTTGGGTATATTCCCCCCCAGATAAACACAACCTATAGGGACGTTTTTGCCCACGGCTACGGCAGCACGACCCTTCCCCGCACCTCCCCTGCGCGAACCTGCCCCGGACACGGCGGTACCACCCGCCCGGTGCCGCTACTCACTCGACGAAGGCGCGGGAGCACAGGCAGAGGATGCTGCAGGCGGGGCCGGCCCGCAGCAGCAGCTCCGCCACCAGCCGCCCGCGCGGGTCCTGCACCATCCCTGCGGGAAGAACCACGCCGCGGAACCAGCCCGCCGCTGCCTTCCGCCGGAACTGCTGGGAGCGCCGAGCCCTCCCCGAGCCCGCTCGGCTGCGGCCGACGGGGCGGGCCGGGCAGAGCAGAGCCGCCTGGCGGGGGCGCCCGCCGGGGTCTCCGCTGGCGGGACAGGCGCTGGACCCCAGTGGGTGTTGCAGAGTAGCTGGGGTTCCGAGAACGCGATGCTTGTGTAAGGGCAGCCGTAGTGGTGGGACTTGTGCTTCCAAGTGACTCCCTACGAGGAGCATTTGCACCTTAGGCTGGGGAGAAAGGAGGGGAGGAAAGGACATGGCAACAAAAATCTGCAACAAAAGATATAGGAAAAATCTGGCGGAACTGGGAGCGGGAGACAGGTCCGGAAAACCTGAGCAAATTATGGAAATGGCTTGCAGGATAGACGTCTCTCAGTATTATCTCCTTTTCACTGCCTTTGTGAAGACTAGATTCCACTAAGCAACTACAAATCAGAACATCAAGGTAGTTTCACATATGATTTTGTGACCATCTGTGAGAGAAGTTTTTTTTCTATGTTAGGGTCTCCCTTGACACTTAGATATGAGAGATCTGGAATGTAGGTAAGTAATTTTGTGTGGCAACATTGTCTCAGTGAAAATTACACTCTTGCTGTCCCCAAAACCTTGCACTCCAAATTCTTGTTCCACACATAATTTTTCGCTTTTATTTTGAAATACAGGAAGCCACCCCAGTTAGATTCAATATTTTTTTTAAATGCTTGATGAGCCAAACAAATATGGAAAAGAACACAAAGCAAACATGATACCTAGGCATGCTATTTAGGTCTGTCACATACTATATGGTACATTTTTGATACCCTAATTACCTTCTTAAAGACACCTTCAGTCTCAGCTTTCTGATAATGGGTCAAATCCTCTAATTACGCTGTGGTTGTACTCAGTGTCGCAGTTTAAGCCCAGCCAGCAACTCGGAATCATGCAGCCGCTCCCGGGAGGGGGGGGTGGGAGGGATGGGGAAGAGTTACGCCGCTTCTTTTCAGAGCAAACATTACTTAGCAACAGCTAAAACGTCAGTGTGTTATCAGCATTGTTCTCAGGCTAAAGCCAAAAACACAGCACTGCACCAGCTACTAGGAAGGAGAAAAATGACTGCTACTGCTGAACCCAGGACACTCAGATTGTGCCATTAGACTTCTGTTTCTGCACATGCAGTCTTTGGTTTAAATTTTTCTATTCCTTTTTTTTTTTTTTTGTGCAGGAGTATGTGCAGCTAAATCATATCCAGTTACATAGTCCTGGATAATGGGCCATTTATTTTACAAGTGGTTATTATTCATTCGCACCTTTGGAAGTGCTGCTGATGTAGTTTGAGTCAGAGGAGATCATATTCTAAGATAGTGAACACATCAGGGATATCTTAAAAAAAATAGTCTGAAGATGTATGGCTTTAATTCTTCTTTACCATTAAGTATGTTTTTCTCTTTTAATTGTGTTAGTTTATATAAGTGTAGCCTTCTGTGACTATTCATATAAGGAAGTTTTATAGTGCTTTATTACAGCTCTGTTTTCCAGTGTAGCTCTGAAAATAACTTTATATTTCTCTCTTGCTTATTAACTTTTACTTGCAAGTTTGTGGACTTTATGGCATTGTGTATGAGCTCTAATCATATACCTATTATACTAAATAGTACGTACATACTGAGTGTAGAGATTGTTTCTAATCTAAGGAGTGTGTAGCAACTTTCCATAAAGAATGCAAGACTTTTCATGGTTTCAGTGCTTTTTTTACGCTTTTCAAATGTGATGTCAAAGAAGGGCAAATCAAAGGACATGGCCATAGGCAAGAACTTACAGATGCAATTAATTTTTCACCTCAACAGCCACCACTGGCCACAGACCAGGATCCTACTGGTTTAAGTAACTGCAGGGTAACAAAACTCATCTAACAGATCTGGCCTTCCAAGAAAAAGGGTGGTAAATTAGGGATGTGCCCTTGCCTGTCTGCAGTAAAGAATTTTAATGTTAGTGCTTCCATAATAAAAGGATGTCTTCCATACAGAGGATTTCTCTGACACTGAACTTGCTCCTGCTAAGGTCCTGATCTGAAGATGCAATGATGCCTTCACTTGCAACTTAACATACAAAGTCAGGGCAAACTCTAGCACTAATAAGCTGGCCACTTGCTAGAGCTTCTTATGTTAAAAGTTTAAGTGACCAATAACTCTTATGTGCTTGTTTGTTTGGTTGTTTTTTTTTCCCTGTTAAATTCATAACAATTATATGTATATTTCTTTCATGGTACATTTGTATTATATGTTTTAAATTTGCTTTCTCTGTTTCATGATTAGTATTTTCCGTAAAATTCTATGAGGTACGTTGTTTCTCTGGAACTAATCACTGAGCCATCTTGCTTCGCAGTCCATAACTGAGGATCCAAAAGCTTTAGCTGCATTTTTCTTTTCAAAGTTTTTGCTGAATGGGAAACTTTTATTTCAGTCTGCTCTTTCTGCACTCTCTTAGTTCATCAAGTATTTTTCATTTCCTTAGTTATGACTATAAGAAACTATAGCCAGTATGTTCATCTGGAAGGTATTTCTCCAAGTTTTGGCTGCAAGTAACACTGATGTATTTGAGGAGAGACTACCTACTGAAATATAATTTCCAAATAAGAAATTTCCTTTTGCTGTTGCAAACTCATATCACAGGGTGACCACAAATAGAGAGGAATGGCACAGGAATGTACCAAACCAGGAACTTCCTTTGAGAAGAAGAGCATTATAATTAGAAGATCAAGAAGCAGCTTGTTAGTTTATATCTACATTTATGCTAGGAAATGAAATAGTCAATCATCTGAATTAAAGAACTATTGTAATTTGAGTGTGAATTATGAGTACTTTAGCTAATTGTTTACTGCTTTTTAATAGTGTACGACTCTTTTAACACAAGGGACTGTGGCAGGGAAGACTTGCTTGACTTACGTGGTTTACCTCAAATCAGGATCGAAGTGTTTTACTGATTTATTAATGACATATAATTAGCTGGCAGTCAGTGAACTTCACATTCTGGATCAATATTAGCAGGCCAACAGATAAACTAGAATACAAAACACTTGCAAGATGTTAAAAAGCACCTAAAAGTTTCTAAACATCCCAATCCCTGCCATTTCTAATGCTACGGGAGCATGGTTATGTATGTGCACCCCTCTCTTACAGAATGGGGGCTGACAAGCGCACCCCCTCTTCTGGCCATGCATATTTTCCTGCTATGGATGATGTTGCTCTATTTTAGTGTGTACCAATGCACCTCCCTGTTGCATGCTAGTCTGTGTGTTGGCAAGACAGTACACTATAAGTTCCCATGTGCTCCCCGAGCTGCAGGTCCTTCTGCTACACCCTGTAACTGTCACCCCTGCTCCCTGTGTGGGGTGGGGAGGATGCCATGTCAGGCTGAGATGGGGATACAATGGCAGCAGGGTGACTTCTGGCAGCATCCAAAGCAGGGGTCTGACCACTGTGCTGAGCACCTTCCCAATCCTACTTCCAAACAGCCACTTCCCCAACATCCTACTTCCCAAACAGCCACAAGTTTGCTTCCATCTTTTATGTTCCTCAAGCTGACTCTTTTCTCAAAAGCCTCTTGGAAATTGCCTGGTTGCTGCTTAATCCAACAGGTGTCTATCGTAAATGAACATTGTCATCGTTCGTTTCTTCATCTTATTCTGTTCTGGGGTAACCTCCTCTCAGATCAGGCAGTTTTGGATATCCTGACCACACAGACTGTTTCTGTTCACACTCCTGCCATACCACCAGTTACTATCTAGGCCATGTAATCAGAACAGATCCACAGGAGGTTTTGTTACCTCAAAACGTGGCTGGTATAGAATTACTACTATAACATTTTATATTCTTGACTGGCAAGGAGCTTCATGGGGTGGAATAAAGGCCAGATGGTCCATCATTCACCACAGAGCCATACCTGCTGACTCCTTGGATTTCATCACTGGCTTATCCAGCCAGAGGCACTGGATCTGCCACTCCCTAGGTGGTTATTTTGCATTTAAAAGGCCAGAGAAATATTCTCATTGTATGAGAGAACTCCAAGTAAGAAATATTTTAATTTAACATATATATATATTTAATGAAACTTAAATATGTACCTACAGTAATTCTGTTAAGAGTCACAGAAGGAGACAAACCAAAGGGGCTGTTATCCCAGCCTCTTCAGCTATGGCCAACTGAAGGTAACCAAGCCTAAGGAAAGCCATGTATGCTGTGGTAGTTTCCCAGATCAATTTGAATTATACACATTCTGGTTTGTTTTCTGTTTATTTTCTTGCAATTGCCAGTATTTGATTTGCTTTTGACCATAATCAAGCACAGGACTCAGGAATCACATTTTCACAGAAATATCTATCAAATGTTTTGTATCTATCTCTTTCCTGAGTGTCTCTCTCAGCCTATCCCAAACTAAGTTTATTTATCGCCACAGAAATGGTACAACTTCTATTATGACTTCTAATATCTAAGGAATTCTGTTTTGTCCTATTACTCACAATTGCTAATGGAGCATAGCTTTCTAGAAGCCATTAATACAGCATTGTTAACACAAAGCATAGCAGTGCCTTTTCTTCTATTATGTCCTTTTTATTAACATGCTATCTAAGCTATGTCCAAGGGATTTCCCCTCCACCCTCATTCCACACACCTTGTTTTTTCAGTGCTTTTAAAATACCGGTTCCCCAATCCAGTTCTGAAGTTTCTCTTAAAGACTGCCAAAAGTGAAGAGGCATGTGACAGGGCCATGAGAGCAAGGGATGGGAACTCATTAAACCCGATTCACCATCAGAGAAGACATGATGTTGGATCACATCCAAGAAATAGTGTAAGTTAAATAATGTGTTGTTAAATTGTTTTTATTCTTGACTCTCAAGTTCTAAAATAAAGATCTTCAAGCCCTGCCCATGTGATGATGTGTCAAGGGGATGAGGCAGTGAAGGATGTGCTCACCAGTTTAGCAATGCTCT